AATATATATTTTTGAAAGCATTCTTACTTTACAGCATTTTTTCACACTTGTCTAAAACTTTGCACAGTACTGTATAATCTGTATGGCAGGAGGTTCCGAATTTTTTGTCCTTTCAGAATGTTTGTGAGATTATACTTTCAGTGCTCTCACACAGCAGCTGCCGTTGTAGGCAGTCACACATTATCCATGTACTAAAAACGGTCCCATTTATCACCAGCTCTTGTTCTTCCCCCTCCCATGCCCTCCATCTCTGTAGTGTGTCTTTATCTTTCCACCTCACAACAAAGTACTTTGCTCCAGTCACCATCATTTGATTTTCTAAGAATGTCTCTGGAATCTAAAAGAGGCCCAGAAATAGAGATCATGCTTGTCAGAAATAGAGATCATGCTTGAGGCTGGTACTTTACTCTGCTGCACATTAGTTTTCCATTTCTTGTTTAATTAAAAGAATCTAACACCCCCCTCCTCCCAAGGTGGAACAGGGAACTTGGTAATCTCTGCATGCAAAGGGGCCCGGTTTTATGCGTTATAAGTATAACCCATATGCTTATGGATGTAGCAGCCAGATGAAATATCCCCTAATCTCTTCTGATCTCTCTAAAAAAGCAAAAGAAAGCACTGTTTTGTTGCTGCACGTTAAACAAATTGATGTTCATGCTCCCAACACTTCTACACATATCTGGCTCAGATAACTCCTATTTGCCTTAGTGGAAGAAAACATGACTCATCCAATCCATGAACAGGGAGTGACTTTGGAAACTTCCATTTTGCTGATGAAAACTTCAGAAAATTAAATGCCCTGTTTATTTCTTCTATCAGAGATAAGCCTAGGTAGCAGGTTCAAGAGAAGTAACTGGGTACCATTGGACAATTCTAATTTCTTATTTTTTAAAAGTAATTATTTTAATAAATAAAAAATAAATAAACAGGAGTTGGTGTGATGGGACTAGATTCTTCTTTGGAGGCTTTAGAATACAAGTCACTTCCAGAATTTGAAAAATGGCTTCCTTTTACACTATGTCACATTTCCAGATTTATTAAGACATTTGGTAAAATTGTGTAGTTTCTTTCCTCAGTGCCCTTTGTCTTTTAACCTTTGACCATGCTTGCTGTGATTTCTGGGAGTTGCAATCCTAATGCATCTGGAAGAAGTCAGTCTTGGGAGAGCTACTTTGTCTTTTCTGACTTTGCATTTTTGTACAAATACTTTTGTTTGAATTTGACAGAAGCTCTATTCTTTTCAGGTAAAGCGACTGAAATATCACCCGTCCATCATTTTATGGAGCGGGAACAATGAAAATGAAGCTGCACTTTCCACCAACTGGTTCTCCATTCCAAGTGCACAGATGAACCTTTATTTCAAAGATTATGTGATACTTTATGTGAATAATATCCGAGAAATTGTTTTTGCTGTAAGTACTGGTTTCTTTTCCCCTATGAAATCTAAAGAGGGCTGACATTTTAGTTGGTTTTATGTTCTGCTGAATTGTGATTTTCCTTCAGAGTCTGGAAATGAATGGATTGTTTTGAATATGTTGCAGGCAAACCCTTCATGTTAAAGATGCACTACATAAAATCTGGAAACATCTGTTTCCTTTGAGTCCTGATGTGCTAAGATCAGCCCTGACAACCATTTTATGTTCTGCTTTCCCCCTACATTTGTGCTGGCTTTGTAAGATATGTATTAAAATGATTTCTTCTGTTGATTGCCTATTGTATCAGGTTCTCCAAGAGTCTTGCTTGGAGGGGGGGGGGGAAAAAAACAAAGTCCCAATTTGAATAAGCTAAATATGCTTAAAAAGAGATAACACAGTTCTTCACAAAAGTAAGAAAAGTGACAAAACCAGCTGCAGTTGGCTGATAAACCTTTGGTGCTAGTCCTTCTCAGAGGCTCTGTGATTGCTGGGGAGGTGCATATTTCCTCTTTTCATTTTACAGCTAAAGGTGGTCTATTTGAAATGGAATTTATGGTTAACTTAATAATGATACGATAGTAGTAGTAGCATTTCTTCAGGCATTTTATAAAAAACAGATAGGAGATGAAGTCATTCTGTAAAGAACAAATTTATGGTCTGTCTCAAAAACAGTGATAGCCTAGTTATCTGGCCTAGTTCAGCTTTCTAGATCCTGTTGGAACTCCTATGTGCTTTTAGGAATCTGTCCGACTTCTCTAATAACCCTAATGATAAACTGCTAGTTAGGAAAGAGGAGACTGTTTCTAACTGTTCACCTTATTGTGCATTGGCATAATAACCTTGTCACAGTGCTCACAAGGACACATGACCCTTTAAAGAGCACTGGGTTTTGAACATGCTTCATTTTTTTCCTTCTAAATCAGGCCTGCACAATTCAACAGCTGCCATGCCATATGGATTACCAGGTGTCTTATCTTTCCTCTCTTCCTTGTATTTTCTTCTTCTTTTCCCTTCTCTTTTCTGAAGGCAGACAACAAATCTTGGACATTTATTACCCCTCTTAATAGCCATTATGTATTGGAGGGTCAAGGATCTGTTTGGCTTGTCTGGTTACAAGTTGTTCAGGCCAGTTTTAAATGTGTGCAGTGATTGTTTTGAATTTTTCTGGATCTGGACTAAAAGATGCAGGTAGGCGAGAGTTGGTTATCATAGAAGTGCGCTATGGGATACAAACATTGGACTTTGGGCTTGGTTTTTTTTCCAGCATTTGTGCTTCTCAAAGCATTTTGTTGTTGAATAGTTGCAGTCCTGATCTGGCAAGAACAGTCTGAAAGAGCTCATATTATTCTTCATTATAGGTACAAAAGTATTTTGGGGCTGGGAAGAAAGATCTTCCCTGTACAGTGTTGCCCACTTTGAAGTGCTGTGTCTAGTGAAAGAAATAATTAATCATTGGAAAAGAAGTGTAAACATCAGAACCAACTTCCCCGCTTGAAAGATTGTCCAACAGATGATGTAATTTAATACATCATTCGATGATGGTTGTAGCAGCTGCCTGTGCAGGCAACTGTCATGGCTGCATCCATATACAGCCCACTGAAACATACAGTGGCAGCTGGCCAGGGCAGAAGACTGTTCTTAGAGCTGTGTGCTTACAGGGGATGAAAGTGCTTCTTCAAGAAATGGATCAGGAGGTGAATTCTTTTGTCCAATTTGCTGTCTGAAGTAGCTGCTTCAGTCCCTGTATTGATGGGATGAGCTCTGGATATTCCATATACTACCCATATTGGTTCCATCTGTTTCCTGGATAACACTGAAGATGAAAGGCATCAGCTCCCTCCTGATTGCCTTGGGCATGGGGGAAAGATACCTCCCAGTCTTTGTCTCGTCTTTGAATGAAAGAGCCAAAGTTTGATAGCCAAAATGGGGAATGTTACAGACACTAGCAATTATGCACAATACTAAAGAGGTCAAATAACCAGCGTGAAAGATTCCATTGTTCTGCAGTAAATAAATATAATGACTTGTTTACTTGGAAATTGTAAAAGCCTTAAAATAAATAAAACTGGGAAAGGGAAATTATGTAGACGGTGCCTAACAGATATGAAAGGAATAGTATCTTCATTCCCTGGAAGTACCTTGTTGCCCTTTCCCAAGGTCAGTTTTTCCAAGGGCATTTCCATAGAACCACTGGTTTCATCCCCTGAAGTTCACTATTTCCTGCAAGCTGATAACTAACAACTATTCTCTTCCACTGGCCAAAGGAGAAGTACAAAAGTCCTCTTCTTTTGCTTTTACAGACACACACACATACACACACACACACACAGACCCATGGGATGCCTTTCCTGTCAGCATAAGAAACCTTGGAAAAGGTGTCAAGGTGTTGTGGTGCCTTGACTTCAACAGGGAGAGAGGAGAATTGAGAAGGCAGGATGAAATGGGAGTTCCCACTCTGCATTAACACTATGAAGATAGCTTGGCAGTGTGAATGCTGGAGCTGAGCAGGAAGTTAATCAACTCCACTGTAAAAGAGTGTGTGAAGACTGATGCTATATAGAGGTGCATAGGGGATCCTGGATTAGTGCAAACCAAGTGCATGGGTGGGCCCTAGGCTGTGCAAGATTTTCTATCTACTTGTCTTGCAGTCTGAAGGTTGCAGAGAGGTGGAGAGTACGATCACTGGATGTGTTCAAAAAAGATTGTTCAGCCATATGGTAGTTTTATTTGGATTCTTGCATTGAGCAGGAGGTTGGACTTAATTACCAAAGTTTCCCCTCCCTCCCAACTCTGTGCTTCTATGCATATGATTGAATGCTGCAATATGAAACTCTGTTTCTTGCAGCTGAAAATGCGATTCCAGGAATCTGACATTTGTTGACACGTTCAGTGAACCAGAAATGATAGAAATGACCTAGTATTTTTGGGAAAAGAGACCATGATTCACTATGATTCACCATGAAAAATCTGCCTTTTGCTTTGACTTTCCAAATTACAGTTTGTCAAGATAGCTTTTATAGCAACTCTTTTATCTCTTGGCCCCAGTTATTCTATTATCTTGAATGTTGTTAAATGTAGGAAGATCAGAGCCGTCCTTTTATTGCCTCAAGCCCTACCAACGGATTGGAGTCAATCAAGGAAGGCTGGCTGGCTCGTAACCCTTACGATACCCATTATGGAGATACCCATTACTACAATTACCTGAATGACTGCTGGAACTGGACCACGTATCCCAGGGCTCGATTTGCCTCTGAATATGGCTTTCAGTCATGGCCTTCCTTCAGCACCTTGGCACAGGTAAATAAAAGCCAGCTGTCTTCTCTCACTCTCCAGCACATTCTGTGGATGTAAAATGAGACTTAGGGAATCAGCCCAAAGGTCCATCTGGTTCAGTCTTAGGTCAAAACACAAAAGAGTAGGAATAAATGATGTGGAACCAAGTACCCTTTTATCCTGTGCTTGGAATAAAACCACATAAAACAGGATGCTTCCACCAGAACATCCCCAATTTTCTAGTGTTCAGCCACTGCTTAAACCTTTGGGAGCCCAATACAGACACCAGATTCAGAACTAAGAACTCAGCTAGGGGGGTGGTAGCGTTGGTGAATTGAGTATCTGCAGAGATCTGTTAGTTACTTCTCCTCCCCTGTTCATGCAGTTTGCATATTTAAACATCTGCATATTAAACGCACAGATTCCTTTAAAGTGGTGTTTAATTATGCCCCACCACACCCAGATGACACAATTAGTTTAAGAAAAAAAATCTGTACCTCCTATACCCCCTCCATTGACTTCAGTGGAAGGATGTGTGTGTACATGCTTAGCTTTACAGAGAAGCCAAAGCTACAAACTTAAAATAGCATTTATTTCCCTGCTTGTCAGGCATACCTATGTTAATCTGTAAACTGAAAAGCAAAAAGAAACATAAATTCTCTAAAGCTTCTCTAACTGGTTGCTTGGAGGCAGTTCTAATCCAACATGGGATGGCTGACAAGTCTGCACACGGTTTTCTTTTTCTCCAGTTTAAATCAGCAGGCTGTAGAACTAATACAGGATAGATTATGCTGCCTTAAAATGATATCTGTAGGTGTTACCAATAAAAGAGAATATATGTAACTCAGGGTTGAACTCCACTGAAGTCAGTGGAGTCCTTGATGCTCTCTGAGCTTGGTGGTTGATTGCAGATGTTTCATTATCTGACTAGGTAACATCATCAGTGCACTGATGATGTTACCTAGT